TTCAACATTGATTCCTATTCCCATAGGCCGTTCAGGCAGATAGTTTTCGATCATGAACAACTGCTAATGTCAGTTCGAGATCGATTTAATTGAGGGTAGTCTCCGATCGATGGAAATTACCTGGAAAAAGTTAAAGTAGAGTAACATTTGTCATTTCGACAGTGAAATGCAGAACTACTTTTTTGCGTATGTAAATCGTAAGACGAACTTACCTGAAATCTTTATGCTTAAATTATAATAATAACTTTTGAAAACAAAATAATCAATCATTTTGTGTACCCACAAAGTTAGTACACAGCTAACGCCGAAAGGTCACCAACTTTAAAATCGCTTTCGAGTTGAAACTTCGCTCAGTGTAGGTAATCGGTCACGATGAATCCGAAAAGCATGGTCTTTACGACTAATGCTTCTACAAAGGCCAGGTTTACTAACAACCAGACTCTCAGAAAATCGAAATTTCTCTAAATGCTGAGAGTGCGGGTAAAAAATTTTATGATGGGAACCAATGTTGAAATCGAGGTATGTGATTGTTAGACGAATCTGCCTGGGTTTTTCGGATGTTTGGGCGGTGAGGGAGAGACTTTTTCCGAAATTTTGTTTTTGGAAACAGTGTCAGCTCGGTTGGAACGTGTACTGAACTTAATCGGCTCAAGAAAATGTCCAATTCTGCTCCAATATATCCTACGTCGTCCAGAACTATTTGACAGACAAGCTATTTTTGTTCATATGATCTTCCCTGCAGTCGTGGGAAATACGTTCAAACGCAGACATTCAAAGTATAGAAGTCTAATATATTTGAATATCTGAAATTTTTTGCACATATGCATGCGGAAATCAATCGAAATCTGCAAACTCTGTATACTGTCTTTTAGGTATTTCCTACAATCAACCAAAATTCTGTCCAAATGCATCCTGGAATTCGAATGCTACCACTTTTGAAAATCAAACTTTATTTAGTTCAAGTCATCCAGCGATTTTTATCGATAGAAACAACATGGTTTACGTGACTTGTCCACAAACTAATCAGATTATCGTTTGGTCGGAAGGAAACAGCACACCAACAAGAATCATCTCTGCTAATATGTCAAGTCTATCTGGCCTTTTTGTTACAACAGCAGGTGATATTTATATTAATAGTGATTACTCATCTTATTCTGAAGTGGATAAATGGGCATTAAATTCGTCAGACAATGTTCCGATAATATATGCATGTCACAATTGCCATGGTATTTTTATTGATATCAATAATATCATGTATTGTTCAATGCTTGGCGGAAATCAAGTCGTTACAAAATCATTATATACTAATTCAAATGCATTGACAATTGTAGCTGGTACCGGTACTGCTGGCTCTGGTCTAGATATGCTTAATCAACCTCATGGCATTTTTGTTGATACTAATTTAGATCTATATGTGGCAGACTCTGGAAACAATCGGATTCAACTCTTTCAATCAGGACAATTAAATGGAATAACTGTAGCTGGATCAAGTTCGCCAAATATCACAATAACACTCAACAACCCAACTGCAGTTGTTTTGGATGCAGATAAAAATATGTATATTGTGGATGCTCAATTGCATCGTATTGTTGTATCTGGACCAGATGGCTTTCAAACTCTACTTGGTATTCACAATTCACCTGGATTCGCAGCTAATCAATTCAATTTTCCCTATAGCATTAGTTTCGATAGTTATGGGAATATATTTGTTGTTGATTATAACAATAATAGAATTCAAAAATTTGACTTTATAACGAATNNNATGGAAAATAAATACAAACATAAGTGTTCCAACAATGTATGTTGATTCACAATGCATTAGCCTTTTTATCGATATTAGCAATACTCTCTATTGTTCATTAAATTTACAACATTACATTGCTAAACGATGGTTGAATGATAATTCAGATACATTGACAGTTGTTGCTGGAACAAATACTTCAGGATCGAATTCAACTATGCTTAATTCTCCACACGGAATCTTTGTCGATACCAATTTGAATTTATATGTGGCAGATTTTGGAAATGATCGAATTCAACTCTTTGCATTAGGAATATCGACTGCAGTTACCATCGCTGGGAATGGTTCACCAACTTCTACAATCACACTCAATCAACCAACTTGTATTGTACTTGATGCAGACAATCATTTCTTTATAGTGGATTCTGGCAATCATCGAATAATTGGTTCTGGACCAAATGGTTTTCAATGTCTCGTAGGATGTCAAGGAAATGGTTCAGCACCTAATCAATTATCGCATCCATCTAGTCTCAGCTTTGATAGTTATGGCAATATGTTTGTTATTGATCTTGATAATAAGCGAATAGAAAAATTTCTTTTATTGACAGGCTCACGTGGTGAGTACAAAATGTTTGTTGAACTATACTGATTATGCGATGTTCTTTCGAATTCTTCTAATTGTTTGATTTTGATTAATCTAGATAAAACAACTATCGATCTAAGTACAACACAAACTACAACAGGTTTGTTGAGAAGGATATTTTTTAATAAAATTTCATAGAATTATTTATAGGAGAAACAACAAGTTTAGCAATGCAAACAATTTCACAAAGTTCCATTAACAATTCGAGTAATGATTGTAGATTTGTAGTCAAATTCAAATTCAAATAATATTTTGATTATTTTAGCATGTTTTACTCCCAAAATCACACTTATTCCTGGTACATCGACATTATTATCACCAATTCAATTTCGACGAAGTGAAGATTTCTACATCGTTTCAATTATTGAATTAAGTTGCCAAAAATCATTATCAATCATTTCCCAATGGACAATCAAAACTTGTAATTTAAATTGTTCGCAACAAATCGAAATCGATCCCGAAATAAAAACAACATTTACTGAAATATCTATTCTAGCTCAAACTCTCCCATATGTTATTTATGAATTAACATTAACAGTTACAATGCGTTATTCACCAACTTTGAAAAGTTCATCCTCTGT